CCATCTTTTACTTGGGGCACCTGATTTCTGCAGGCCAATTGCACGTTGACACCGACAAGATTGCAGCCATGATCAACTGGCCGACTCCAACAACACTTCGGCAGCTGCGGGGTTTCTTGGGCCTTACGGGCTATTATCGCCGATTTGTTCGAAATTATTCTCACATCGCAGCCCCGCTGACTGATATGCTGAAGAAGGATGCCTTCCACTGGACACCCGCGGCTGCCACTGCCTTCCAGGAGCTCAAGGCAGCCATGAGCTCGGCTCCGGTGTTGCGGTTGCCAGACTTCTCCTCTACTTTTGTTATTGAGACAGACGCGTGTGCAACGGGTATCGGTGCAGTTCTCCTACAACACGAGCAACCTATCGCTTATTTTAGCAAAAAATTGGGGCCAAGAAAACGGGCGGCATCAACATACCACAAGGAACTCGTAGCCATTGTAGAGTCCGTACAAAAGTGGCGGCAATATTTGTTGGGCCGTAAATTCTTGATACGAACGGACCAACGTAGCCTGCGTGAGCTACTACATCAAGTGGTTCAGACGCCGGATCAGCAATATTACATCCGTAAATTGATGGGGTTTCAGTTCCGCATTGAGTATAAAACGGGAGCATCTAACCGAGTTGCGGATGCTCTCTCCCGACGGGAGGAGTCGGAGGACACAACGGCGAACTTTTGTAGTCTTTCACACCCCTTACCCTCTCTTATGGAAGACATCCTCCGTGAGAACCAATCACAAAATGATCTCCGCCACTTACATCAGGCCGCCACCAAAGGTCGTTTGCCGCCGGACTACTCAATTACGGATGGTATCCTATACTTCCGTCGCCGGATCTGCATTGGTAAGGACTCTCCCATACGCAAACAACTCTTGCGGGAATACCATGACTCACCATTGGCAGGCCACCCCGGTGTGCAACACACGTTTTACCGCCTCGCACAGAATTTCTTTTGGGCCGGCATGCGACGGGACGTCCAACACCATATTGACGCGTGTCTCCCCTGCCAAGCAACCAAGTACTCTACTCAGCCCCCTGCGGGCTTATTGCAGCCCTTGAAGATACCACTTCAAGTTTGGGACGACGTATCAATGGATTTTATTACGGGCCTTCCATCCGTGCAAGGGTATTCCGTAATTTTGGTGGTTGTTGACCGGTTGTCTAAGTACATACATCTGGGCCCTTTACCGGCCACTTACGATGCACCGAAGGTAGCACAGCTCTTCGTGGACATGGTGGTCAAGCTTCATGGTTTTCCTAAATCCATTGTGTCGGATCGTGATCGGATTTTTATGAGTAATTTTTGGCAGCAGGCCCTTCGTCTTAGTGGCACGACTTTGCATATTAGCACAGCATTCCACCCGCAAACCGATGGCCAGACCGAAGTCATGAACCGCGGCGTGGAACAATATCTACGCGCTTATGTCCTAGAGAAACCCAAACGGTGGTTGATGCTATTGCCTTGGGCCGAATTCGCCATTAATACAAGCTACCATTCGGGCCTGCGTATGACTCCGTTCCAGGCCTTATATGGTCGTGCACCGCCTTCAATTCTGCCATATTCTAGCGGGGAGTGTGCGGTTCCGGCTGTTGATGAACTCCTAACCGAACGGACAGCGCTGTTACACCGGCTGCGGGAGAACCTTCAGGCTGCACAAGCACGTATGAAAGCAGCGGCCAACCCCCACCGTCGGGACGTTCAATTTCACGTCGGGGACTGGGTTTTGTTGAAATTGCAGCCCTACAGACAGCATTCAGTGGTACGCCGGGGTTCCCAAAAGCTTGCACGCAGATTTTACGGGCCGTACCAGATTCTTGAACGCATTGGGTCAGTCGCCTACCGGTTAGACCTGCCCGCCAATTCCAAAATCCACCCGGTATTCCATGTCTCACTCCTCCGCCCCTATCGCGGAGATTCGCCTACAGTAACACCCCTTCCGCTGCCGGTGGATTTGGTGGATGGTCGGCCCCCGTCTCGACCACTCAAAGCACATGCATGGCAGACCACCCTGGTTAATGGAGTCCCAGAGCAGCAGGTACTGGTTGAGTGGACGGATGGTGGCTTGCATGACGCTACTTGGGAGCCGGTGGATGCTCTTCGACGACATTATCCTGATATGCACCTTGAGGACAAGGTGCCTTTTGAACAAGGGGGGAATGTTACGAGTACTCCACTGGGGGATGACGGAGCAGTAGAGAATGAATGTGGGGAACCAACACGGGACAGTGACGATGGGCAGCCGGGGGACGCAGGGAGTCCGGTGCGTAGGGGCACAAGAACGAGACGACCACCGGCATGGCATGCGGACTACGACACGTAGTTATTTTTAGTAGTACTTCTATTACTTTCATTATTATTGTTTTATTTAATAATTGTAATAGATTTTCTTAGGAGAGCGGTCTATAAGCTCCTTCAAGGGTTTTCTTTTCGGTTCTTTCCCTTGACGCCTTTATTGAACCGACAGGTAGATTAGGGTTAGGGTTTCAACT